GGGTGGGACACGTGCAGGCCGGGAGGGGCCTGTGGGCTCGCACGCGGCTTCCTGTTTATCTTAGTGATTTTCCACAATAAAAAGGAGTCTGAGAAACCGTGGAGCAGACGGACCCGAGGATGTGTTCCCCAGAACGCCTCTGGCGTGCGGGCTGCCTGCAAGCCCAGCAGACTGGTCCCCTGGCCGGTCCCGCAAGGGCCCCGGCCGCCTCCCTGCAGACATCAGGCACCGGACGACCACGTGATAAATCCTTTCCCAAACCGAGTGACTTCTGCTTTGGCTGTCGGCAAAGCTGGGGGCTCGTCATCACTCTCGCTGTGACCACGGAGACGTCTTGGGCGTAACCAAGGAGTCCTGGAAAGCGGGCGACAGACAGCTCCTGCGCGCTTGCCGGCTGCATCCCGCCGTAGCACCGCGTCCAGTTTCATGCTGACTTGAAACACGTGCATTACGGCGTGCCGCTCAAGAGGCTTCTAGAACTGCCCACCCTCCCCTGCTGCAGGGTTGGAGCGCAGCATCCTGCGGCTGTCAGCGGCCCGACCCCGCCAGGGAGCGACCCCGGGCGCGCAGCCCCCTGCAGCCCCCCGCTGCCCCCCAGCAGTGGGTCTCCGTGGACCCGCCCGCTCTGCTCCCCACTGTCTCTGGTAACTCCTCTCACACCCCGCAATCTGGCCTCGACCCCCGTTCTTGTGTGCAAAAGTAAATAAATCTTTAAACAGGCATCTTCTAGAATCATCCCGACAGTGTCCGTTGCCTCGACAAATGCGCTGTAAGGATGGTGGCGCTGACGCGAGGGTCCCTCCGGACAGCCTCCAGCTAGGGCCCAGGGAGCCAGTGTCGCTCGTTACCAGGGACGCGTGCCGAAGCAAGGCGACGCTTACAATGTCACACACGGGTGAGGGTCCCAGAGAGAGAGAAAGTCTTCATCGGAGAAGGGTTCGCCCACACCCCCACACCGAATGCCCCCGGGAGCAGGCGGGCCCGCACCCTCCTCTGGGCCTAGCGTCACCCGCGTGGTCGCAAAGTCCTCGGTGACCGCGGCTCCTCTGACGTCTCCGGGCCTAGTTTGTAAATCAAACCCTCACGGGTTTCAGGGTGCACGGGGGCCTTGGGCCGTCCCCCCCAGAGGAGGTAGCTTGCTCTGTTGCTAGCTGCAGTTTTTATCTTGAAATTCACAGTATGTCATGTTGGCAAGCTCACATGCCCTTTAAACCTGCAGAAAAAGCTGTATTTCCTCTTCTTCTTCTTTTTTAATTTACTGATGCACTTAGAACCGGGGTGCAGGCCAGAGGTGCCGGGGCAGTGAGAGGCTTCCCCCGAGACAGAGCGGGGAGCAGGACAGCAGATGGAGGAAGCGCACTGCTGGGGGGCGGTCACCTCCGGGCCGGGCATCGGACTCCGCTGAAGCGCTGCGGCGGCCTGCAGCGCTGCGTCCCAACCCGCTGGCCGCCAGGGAGGGGCAAAAGCGGGATTTCAGGTTCAGGGAGCGCGGAGGGCGCCATCTCCCCAAGCTGGCGGGCGCGCCAGGCGGGAGCCCCCGCTCCGGCTGCCGCCTAGCGAGACCCCAGGGCCCCCGACGCCAGCCCC